GCAGGAATGGCGGTCCCTGTCCCGGCCCTGGCGTGGGTCCGGGCGGTGACTCCGAGCTTCAATCCCACGTGGGAGCTGTGAGCACCACTGGAGGCTCCGACCATTGGCTGTGAGGCGGGGAGCACCACTCTCCAGCCTCCTCCACGGGGCTGTGGACTAGGAAAACCTCACCGCCTCAGACAAAAACCTAAGAAGGCAAAATCTCGTCAAGAGCACTACGGGTCCCGCCCTACAGAAGCGGCCAAACGCAAATGCTTTCTCTGACCCTCCATTGGCTCAGCCTGATGACATTCCTTGCGTGGCCTTCTGGGTAATGTAGTTTGTCCGCTCCATGGCCAGGATCCCCGATTTCCTCAGCTGACTACAGGACTGCATTTAGGGGCAAATAGCCCAAGATCACACGAAGTATTTTCAGGCCCCTTAAGCGCCTTCAAGGGACGTGATTTCGAGGGCAAGTTTCTTTCTCATGTACCCGTGTGGCTGGTTTTGTATACCTTTTTTACAGGACCAGCTCTTTCTGAATGGCAGGCATTGTTTCTTCATTCATGACATTTGGCATGTGTCTCCTTCAGGTCAAATGTAGTTTGCAGAAGTTGCTCAAGTCTCTCACTGCCTCTAACCTGCCTCCACTGAATCCATTACTCAAAGTTAATGTCACAAAACAGACACTCATACTTAACAGCATCTGCTTCTGATGCCATCCAAAGTGTCAGCTCTACCTGGGCTGCGGTGTGGATAAGATGGCCAAGAGACAAGTGAAAAAATGCTCAATGTGACTGATCACCAGAGAGATGCAAATTAAAGCAACAATTAGGATCACCCCACCACTGTCAGAATGGCTGCCATCAGCAAATCAACAAATGACAAGTGCTGGGGAGGATGTGGAAAAATGGGAACGCTAGAACATCCCTGGTACACGGATTATGGAAATCAGTTTGGAGTTTTTGCAAAAATTTTAATATGAAACTGCCATTTAATTTAGTGATTCTACTCCTAGGAATATATCCTAAGACACCTGAAACAATCACATAGATAGTATGTATGTAGCTGGTCAAGTGGAATGAAGTTAAGTAGAAGAGGACGTTCTGCCAAGAAAAGGCGGGAGCCTGCAAGCGGGCCACGTCAGAACAGTCTTGCAAGCAAGACTTATTGTTCAGAGGCAGAATTTCCTTGAGGTGATAAATAGTCCATGAGGGCATGGAAAGTT